GGTCCCCGCACTAGGCAAAATGCTTAGCCGGGTAATACAGGAGCAGCTGCTGAAGGTGTTGGGTGTTGGGTGTTTCATGAGACGACCGGCCCAGGAAGTCATTCCCATTCCCGAGTCGCGCCTGGTTTGGAGGCCCTGGCAGGAGGGAAGCATACTCAAAAGAATCAACGCTACTCAAGGTCCACCCAGTGGCCTGACTTCTTCACCGGTCTCTCCCTGGCGCGCTGTGACTGATCACATGCTTGGGGAAAGAAAGAAATAGCAATGGCCTCCAACCTAGTAGCAATGGCCTCCAACCTACTTCTCAAGTTTCCACAGATTGAGCCTCTGCCATGCTTGCGTTCCCCTCTGCGGCTCTTGGGCCAAGCTCTGGCGGTTTGAAGGCTCCAAGCGAATCGTCAAGTCGAGCCGAAAATATTCCAGTACTGTAGCTTCTTGTTACTACTAGTAAGGCACTTGTTACTAGAAGCGAGGCACTTGTTCCTAGTAGTAAGGCACTTGTTACTACAAATGCCAGAGAGCCTGTTGACCTGAAAGGATGAGATGACAATGTGAACCATTCAACCTACACTCTGCCAGCCCCTTGGCTTAAGCCTTAGCACGTGCAACCCCTTAGTTCAGTTGCGCTCCGCTTCTGCACTTTGGTGCTTCTTTTGCTCCGCTTCTGACGCGATCTAGATCTAGGCTCCATCTCATCTCCTGAGTCGCTTTTTGTCCTTGGAAGGGCTCCTGCTGCGGCCTCTTCTGCGGAGTCTATTTTGCTCCTCGTACGCATTTCGCCTCTGTTGACCCTCATATTCATTGAGCAGAGACATAAAGAAACCATTGAAGTTCTGAATCTTCTGCTTCATTTTTTCAACCCTTTGCCTGACATACTGTTGTGCCACTAGGGGTGCTCTCTGTAGTCTGCTCCATGCTCTATCATCAAGCATGGGCCTGTAGTTGCGCATCCACCGTTGCAGATCTGAACAGGTGTCCAGCTGGATGTTTCTGGCTCTTGGCCTGCGTCGATCTGTCAGATCCAAGTCAAAGGTGACACACTGGTTGGTCTTCAGATCCTGCCTTTCGTCATCAAACGTTGGCATTGGATTTATCCTCGATCCTTCATGCGTACATTCAATCTTGCCAGTATACCCTCTTCCACTTCGTCTTGAGGAATGTACAATGCCTACCGTCCGCACCCGTGGCGAAGGCACAGCAACCGACGAAGCGCGCGGCGCGGCTGGAGGATTTGGCACGGAATGGGATGCAGGTTGTGGCATTTCTGGGAGGTCGCTGTTGCTATCCTGCTCAGCAATGATGTTGGGATATGAATCCAAAATGCGCTGCCTCTCGGCTGCAAACTTGGGGCAGTTCCACTTCGATCCATCACATGTATCTTCACATTGCTTCACTCTCTCAAAGTCACATCGCCACTCTTTGTAAGTATGAGCACTGAAGCAGTTTCTGTTGAGCAGCTCACCACAGCGCCACTGTTTCCTTTTGGCATCCTCAACATCTCTGGGCATGTTGTTCTCTTGGTAGAGATGCGAACATAGGCTGGTCTTGTTCTGGGAATCCGCCACGGGTATCTCAACAGCTTCCTCCTGCCCAACCTCTGCAAAAGGGTTTGGGGTTCTTACTCCATCAGGGTCAACCTCTTCCTGATCGCTCTCGTCCGTCGCCCCGACCCAACCACGAATTACATCATTCAGCAATTTTTTGCGTCTTGGATTAACATCCTTTGGGCTCCACTTGGCATGCACAGCAAGGCATTTGGATAGTTCAAAATGAGAGGCTGCATAGACATGCTTCTTTTGAGCAAATGGGTCATTACGAACCTTTTGATTTTCCTGCTGCGTAAGCAGGCAATAGTTCCCAAGGTTGTCCACCAAGTCTCTGTGCTCACTCTCACTCCAACGGTCCTGGTCTCCGTGGGGGCGCTGAGGGTGTATGTGTTCTACAGTGATATTGGAATACCTTCGATCAATGCAAGTGAATTGTTCTGTACAACCACCGTGAAGATTTCGCGGCCATCGGTCTGAAAGCTTCATGTAGAGCAAATGTTCGTCTTTTTCTTGACACTCGGCCTTGAGCAGGACATATGTGGCCCTTCTTTTGTACTCTCTCTCTTCAAGAGTCGTATTGAAAGCTACAGTCTCACCAAAGCATTCCTCCAGTTTTTTTCGGAGCTTTCGGCGGCGATGTTGAAATTTCTCCTCCATCCAATCGAGGATTTTTGTGGGATTGTCCTCTTTGTAGATGACGCCGATGAGCTCTCTGTAATGGTTCATGTAGCGGCAAAACATTTGTTCCAAACCAGTCTTTGACAGGGCTGAATGCCCAAACATTGCCTTTCCATTCCCACGCGTGCAGAAGGCATTGTAGGCTACAAAGCCCTTCTCAAGCAAGTCAAAAAAACTCTGCCGCAGCATTCAAGTGGTCACTGCTTTGCATGCAGCGAAACTTTACCACAAAAAAGAATGCAGGAGCGACCCAATCCATATCCAAGCCCGTGTGCGCAACATGTTTGAGCAAGGTCACTGTATTTTGAATGCGCTTGCTGCTTGTCTGGCCCAAGTATCGTCCTTGCGCCCACCTGTGATCATCCACCCTCAGGAAACCTAAGAAGCACACCACTGAGTCTGTGTTCATCCATTTGCTGAAGAACAAATCCAGTGCGTTCTCGTCCACCTTGGTTGGATTCTCCACGTCGAAAAGCTTGAACCTTCGTTTCTTCGTTGCACTATCGACCAGGACCTGATCTTCGAGAATGAAGCGTCGCTGTATATGCTCAATCAAGGTGCACTGGTAAGGCTCCTGATGTTCGAAGTGTTCATATTTCTCTGACTTAAGAAAGTCTTTCATACTGTCTTTATCCAATCTTCCTGGGGGCCGCGCGGTAAGCTCGACAATGACATGCATGTAGTATACGAACAAGTCAAATTCATCTTTTGTTGTTGCCAGAAATTCCGAGGCACAGTTCTCCCATTGCGCATCATATTTGTCCTGGTGTTCGGTTGTCTCCACTTGAAGCATGGCTTTCAAAATCTCCATCTGAGTGGCTGCTTCAGCATGATCCCGCTGGTTGTTGATCGATCTGTACATCTGCACAGCTTTCGACCATGAAGCAGTATCAATATGCGCAACTTCCAGTTTCTCAAGCATGAACTCTGCAAAATCTTCAACTTCCCTTTTGACATCGAACTTTTTGTCTTTGTTCAAATACTTGTCCCTGTAATAGTTCAATATCATCGGATGGTGGTCAGCAGAGTCCAAGCTCAAAGAATGGACGAAGTCTCGGTCGTGCTCATTACCAAAATGATTGCACATGAAGAACAAAGCAGCTCTGAAAACGTTTACCATTTTCTGTTCTTGATCATCCGGCCTTTCATGGCAAAGGAGTTCCTTGAGTTCTTTCCAATCGTTCATATCAAATATCTTCTTTGCAAAGAACTCATGAAAAAAACCCTCCACGCTGCTCTCAGGAGGGAATTTCAATCGTTCTTCCACCATTGCAACAGTCATATTGTGGCCAAATGTTTTCTCGTTTGCTGCAATCCAAACAAAATTGTCATCTCGGCCCTTGATGTCAAAATCATCCACGTGGTGACTGCACCAGAAGTACATCGCTCTAAAGAAGATCCAAAGTGTCACCAATCGCTGTTGTCCATCGACCACATATCGTGGTACATGCGGCGAGTCCCTCTTCGATATTGGCTCTTGGTAGGTTATGATAGACCCAAGGTGATACTCATCATTCCCCTGCGCGCACTTCATGCTATCAAACTGGTCATGGCAATCAAGCCACAAACGAAGAGCCATCTCCATCTTCCATCTGTAGCCCCTCTGAAAAGGTGCGATGATGTAGAAGCCTTCCTGCAGAAAACTCCCATAGCGTTTCAACCCCTGAGTGGTCATGGCTGGAAATGTCGAGAAAATGTGTCTGGAAAGTATTTTTCTGGTTGCGATGCCTTTGATACTAGTAGCGATGCCCTTGTTACTAGTAGTTTCTTGCTACTAGTAGCAATGGCCTCCAACCTACTAGTTTCTTGCTACTAGTAGTAATGCCTTTGTTACTAATGGCGAGTCTATCGTGCAAATTTCATTGCAAATCAACCATCCTTGCGTGATCATGGTGTCTTAGATTGACTGTTCACTGCCGTGGCTCTGCTGGATTGTATGTTCATCGGATGAATGAAAACCACAGCCAGCACTGTCAAGTCCGCCAACAAAAACGGATGCGGAGACATACCATCAAAATACAACTGCTGGATTTGATTTCTTGCTTCCTGTTCCTTTCCACACATAAGGTTCGCCCACAGTAAGTGGAAGTGCGGCAAGACCCCACTCCATTGGAAAACAACATTGGCTTGCAATCCTCACAACTACGTTTTTTCGCACATATCCAAGCAAAATCCACACCTGGCCCTCTTTAGGGCATTGAATAAAAATTGGGTGATGTTATACTTTTGAATTTGGTGCGTTTGGGGTGGTTTTCCTCAACCAGTGTGGTTAAACTAGGAGTTCTTATGGTAAGTTGCCTCGAGATTCCGTTTTTGAAGGACATTTCGCAAGAAAAACTCTCTGAAGAGATGGTTCTCGACTGCGTTCTCATTGCAGTGCCGACATGGCGGTCACTCTTCATGGCAGGTGGCAGGCGTAAGGGAACTCTCGTGTTTTGGTGGTCTGAAGACGATCATTCGTGGTCTGAAGGTGATCGGAACGGTTTTACTTTGATGTTCAGTTTTCGTGGCAAGCCTAGCACTTTTGACTTGGTGATGGTCTTTGGCGTGCTCTGGTTTTGTGGGAGGCGCAGTGAATCGTGAACTTTGAAAATTGTCCATTTCTGGGTGTTGGGAGAAATATCACGCGACAGTTTATCGAGTCTTTGAATTTTGTTGCGAAACCGCACTGGCATGGCTGCGCGATTTGAACTCTTGGCAAACGTAGCGCTTTGTGGACAGCCAAGCGCAAATTCGTGGCAGACACAGCATTTTGTCAACCTTGAAGTGCGGCGCAGCGCCTTGCAAATCTCCAAGAAATGCGAGTTCTTGCAGCAGGCACAGCACTTTGTCGTCCTCCTAGTGCAGCTGCGTACCAATTGCAACACTGTGTGACTTTGTGAACCTCGACGCGCATGTTCCTTTTCACGTTCCCATCTGTCTGTGTGTGTGTCACCCCCTGTTTCCAAGGGTACCGTTGGTCAACAGATGTTCGCAGCAGGGGAGTGGTGCGCGGTCTTGGAGTCACCACTCAACGAAGACACTCCTTGTACCGCGGTGAAATCCAGAAGGGACGCCTTCCGGACGTACCTGCGCCAGTTCTGACCAAGCTGTGACTCCAATCTTTCGTTGTTTGATTCCATGGTCCTTGCATGATAGACCCCA